ACAACTTTGAATATTTATTATTAATAGCAGATTAATATTAGGTATGACCGACTGTCGACAGTCTAGTGTTTAACCAAAAACGTCGTGCTTCAACTCACCTTATCGCCAACAAAATAACCGTTTCCTCCATTATTTGCGACTAAAAGCTTCTCTAGTGCTGCTAATTTCTGCGTAAGGGTCTTAGTCTTGAACTCCTCTAGCAGCTCAGCCTGATGATCAAACGCAGTAAAAAGAAAATTAAATACCAATAATTATATTTCAGTCAATTTCAAAAGAACATTTAAATTTTAAAGAAAGTTAATTTTACGCATGTTTCAACTGTGCACTACACCCTGTACTATATTTATGCTCTGATTAAATCATAACGATTGTTTTCATTCATGAAAATTAATATAACGACAGCAATATTAGTCGGTCAATCTACACAATCCTTACAACTTTGGCCAAAATATCTTTGGTAAATTTAAAACATAATTACCTTTGTTTTTTCGTCTTTGTTGAACCAGGCCTTCATAAAAGAGTTCAAAATATCCACGAATGTTTCAACTATCATACCAATTTTCGCCGTCTCCAAATCGTTTTTTCCATTATAGCCTGTGGTGAAAAACATTAATTTTGTTTAACTAGTTTTATCGAGCATGACGCGTAAAATGAAAACTATTTTTTGTTCATTCTACTTACCATGAACGCTGGCAAGGTAACGAGCAATTGCATTTGACTGGCTCAATACTGTGTCGTCCACCTCCAATACAGGCATTTCGCCAAAAGGAAATTCTACAATAAAAAAAAAACATATCATGTCGTTTAAACTATTTTTGTGGCGTTACACTACTTACTCTAGCGGTACCGGTGAATATTTATCTACTCCAGCTTCGGTGCTTGTGACATGTACAATTGCCGGAGATTGTGCTATTAAGCACGTTCAACAGATGTTCTCAGAAATACCTAAATTAAGTCAGTGTCAGACTAATTTCGTTGCACTATGATGAAAGTGAGTGAGTGCAACTTTCTCCCCGATTTTTGAAAAGTATTTCTATAGCACACGGGAATCGAACCCCTTTTCTTTAGATCAACCAAGTCACGGCGGATCGGAGTGATCATACACGAGAGCTGAATGCCAGTAATTGGCGAGGAGAAAGCAACAAGTGACCCCGGAATTATCCATGCATTCAAGTAGATGTGTTAAGTCGTATTCATCTTTTTTTTTTTTTAATTTTTCCGCAATACATCTACACACAAAAAGTCATGTGACTGACGTATACAACAATGACCATAAAATATGTACAATATTAATACCGGGAGATATTCTGGCTATTGACAGAAGGTATTTAGACAGAAGCGACGACACAAAATAGCGTATATTCTCGGAGTTTCTGACTTAAGTATTACCTCCGGTCCTTTTGGGTGCCGACTAACTGCAGCGAGACCTATCGCCCGAATGCTTGGGCATAGCAAATTTCACCCACAGAAAATAATGTCATATAACATAATGCCGAATTGAAAACATATTTACAATTAAAATAATATACATGGCATATTAAATGGGGTTGTGTGACCGATTCACCAAACATGACCAATATTTAAAACACTACATAAATCAAACAACTCGGATTTATTTGCTGTTACGCAGAAGTCTACTCAACCCACATATTCCCCACGTCATATCTATACTATTTCACTTATAATACATTATATACTACTATATATATCAACAACAAAGTGTTTAAATTTTAATAAAGTCATACTTACTGCCACTGGCTTTGATTTTTCCCCATTCCTCGCCCGTATAACGTTTATCTTCGTACTTGACCCCAGCCAAGGCTAGTATAAAACGACTGGTCTCGGCACGACCACGCGCATTGAAATAATGTAGCTTGTAGTTTGGCATGATGACTGGTACCTCGGACGTTAAGCGAAGTTGCAATGCACACGTTATGTATACTACTAATGAAAAGGGCGGTTGTTCTGCTTTTTATACCTGTACAGGTAAGAGAATGAGTCGGCACTTTTATTGTTCGGGGTTGGAAGGACCTAGCGGCTAATACAGTATATCAATTATTCGATGGATCCTGTTGCAAAGCACACACTATGGTTTGTGTATTACTAATAAACCATATTTAAGGACACTGTTTCCTGGTGTATTTTGCTAAAATACGTTCTGTTTTTGTCTTCTTAAAAATTACCAGCCCGTTATTTTTTTGTTTACCAGATTTGACCAATAAACGATAATATCTACCTTTACTTAGTAACTAATTTGCGAAGCGTTTTTTGAAAATGCAAGTCATTCTTACTCAGAATTCTTTTCGTTACCATGACTCTGATTAACTGTCTTTACTGAATATTTTTGCAGACATATTTATTGATTTTATCATACATAAATTTTCCGAGCTTTCTATCAGTGTTATTAATTGACCTCTTCATATTGACTGTTTTCAGTATTTATCCATGTAGACATCATGCAAACTTGTTCATTCATGGTGGCGACGGGATGCCCTCAACTTCGATTTGTATCCATGATTGATGAATGTGACGTATATAGACCGATGATAAGCATGTGATAACAGCCTGAGTCGCCCTACAAAGTCCAACGGTGGTTTCGTAAGACAGGGCACAGACAAATATTTACACAGTTATATATATGAAATAACTATACAATGCATCCAATACATTTTGAAGCCTTCGTGTTAAACATTCAGTTTAAATTACGAGAGAGTACTCATCGAAAATCTCTCGTATCTTGGACTAGCGGAGGTGTTTTTGTCGATTTCATCGTTTTGTAGTGTTCAGTAGCATTTTTATGAATAAAATTGGTAAAAAATGTGCAATGTAGTCTCCCCGTTTTGTTCGCAGCCCACACATACGATATTTTTTTTTTATTTCTGTTTCTGAAATTGAACATTTCCAACCACCAACTGCATCCACACTTGGTTGGAACTACGCTCGAACGATGTGCACCGAATTGTATCGCGTTCAAACTTCAAGTTCGCTAATCGCGAGAATTCGCTTCTCGCGAGATATTCATTGCATATCACCACACCTTCTAGCCAAACGCATGTGTGCACGTGTTAGAAAATATCAATATTATTTTGATAATGTTATTGAGTTTTTCAAAGTTGTATACAGTGGCGACGAACAATTGTATTTTTGACACCATGCACGTCAACTACAGGTTTTACGCTATCGGTTTAACGGTTGCTGTGCTGTCTGTTTCTTGTACAAATGGCAGGATACTTGGTGCATGTGAATAGTTCAACTCACCTTGGCAGGCATCAAAAATTAAATAGAGGTCACTGCTCTATGACAGTTGTGACCTCTCAGCACGGTACAGTGACATTGTGATATTGTCGCTTTCTTCAATGTCAGGGGCGGATCTAGGATTCTGGAATAGGGGGGCCGGTAAGTTGGCCGAAGGCCAAGTTCGCAAGCGCCGATGTCGCGAAGCCCTGTTTGTTGTTAAAAATAGGGGGACCGCGGCCCCTCGGCCCCTCTAAATCCGCCCATAAATGCATTGCAAACTTTTATTTAAAACACCAACTCACCAATACCAATATTTTTTTTTATATTATACAAAAACAAATTGAATACATTTTTCAACGGGGTGGGGGGATGCCGGACCCCAAGAACCCCCTCTAGATCCGCCACTGGATTAATAATGGAATTTGTATGTAATGTATGTAAAACAATGTATTAATCGCTCGGCCCTGTTCGACCGCCACGGTCTGTCAGACAGGTATTTACTCCAACCATGGCGATCTGCAATATGCCCAACTACAAATAGTTTCTCTATATGTATTGTCATACTGTTGACACGTTTTACAGTTAGAGCCAATGTCATTTGTAATCTGTATTTAAAAAAATATACTCTTAAAAGTGTAAAATAAAGAAAAAAACACAAAGTTCAGATTTTAAAGCCCTGGACGTGTTTCACTTGAATAAAGCATGCAATTAAATGTAAAGAACAGTATAGTGCGTGTAACCATATGGCACCTGAATACAAGTTCAAGCAAGTTCAAGCTGTAGTGTGGCCTAAAAACTGCTGATTCACTATTTGATCGCACCAACCGAAGGTATTCAAGTTACACGGACGTATACAAGTTTAAAGTCTACTGTGAACGCATATCTGCCGATTCATTGTGGGCTTTCAACAAAGCTGCTTCCTGTCACAACAGTTTTGTCGCCGTGTGACCGTTATACCTTAATATCATGCCTAGTTACAAGCTGCATTATATGAACGGGCGTGGTCGTGCCGAAATCAGTCGTTTAATATTCGCCTTGGCTGACGTTGAATACGAGGACAAACGTTACACGCGCGAGGAATGGGTAACGGTGAAAGAGAGCGGACGTAGGTGATTTTTAACTATATTGATCAACCACTATAAACTGAAGGGAAGGGGTGACATATACATTATGCGGACAAATCTTCACATCATCGTTACGTCAGCATTTTTTATTTCTTACTACTATATTTACCATACCGTACGTATACTCCCCCGCAACATGACTCGTCTATACAATGGTGTACAGCAATACAGTGACCCCTCGCTAAGTCGCGATTTCGGCTTAGTCGCGGGTACTTGGATGGCTCCCAAAATTTATTTTGTTTTTTGACGGCAGTTTTGAAGTACAAATACCAATGTTTCGTTGCATCGTGTATTTAACTAACTGTTAAAGAGACAACTTATTTTTAACACCTACTGTCCGTCACTTACTGAGATACAATGGGTGACGGCAACCTTACTCAAGGTGTCAACAGGGGTGTCGAGTAGCGACCGTACGTACTTCTCGGCCTTCGACATACTTCTATAAAACCCGCTACAATGAGTTGAATTTATCATTCCGATCTCTACTCCTGTCAAGAAAAGGTGAAACCAAGTCACGTGATCTAACAGTCGGCGAGTCCACTATCCGCGACTTAGCGAGGGGGCCACTGTATTCCAACTGGCAATTAGCATTCCAGACAAGGAATTCTGTTTCAGTTTGAACTATTAATTGTATACATATTATCGGAGATGAAGGGAAGTGTTTATTATGCTGATTATAGTAGAAACTTCTTGATCCAGTTTAAATTATGAAATTCAGCGAAATTTATAAAGATAAAGAAGAAAATGACATTGTTGCGCCAATTGTACAATATTACAGTACATACAATTTCCTGAAGTTTCGCATAATTATTCAAGTGTGTATTAATTATAAATGAAGGTTGAAAACAACTTGACCACTTACAAGCGGTTAACATATGCATAGCAGTAAATCTGTCAATAATGGAAGGGAACCCTGCTAATTGGTAATATGACAATGACGTAACGAAATGGCCTTTATAGTCCATATAAACTTAGTCTTTAGATTTGTTCATGCGCGAGGGTTTTACAGGCTAATGTTATTAATTTATTAATATTGGCATAGACAGTTTGAAAGTTAGTTTTATTTTTCACTCCAAGATATTATTGTTGATATAATCCTTAGTTTATACTATGCGTTGAAGTAATACACACCAAGTCAATGGATTACATTTCTTTAAATTCATTAGTGTTTCCATTCAAGCAAGTACCTGTATTGGAATTCGACGGCGAGGTGTTAGCACAAACAAATGCAGTTGCTCGTTACCTTGCCAACGAATATGGTAAGTAGGTTGCGTACAAGTCTAGGGTCACCTGGGGGGTCACTTGTAATAAATGGAGTGGGTGTAACGCGTTAGGATTAAGAATCCATACCCACTTTAGCCGTTGGTACCCACTTGTATGGATACCAACAGTCTCGTCTGCACATAATTACACATTTTCTATAGAACACGCCCTCCAGTGACCAAGTGATTATTTGACGTAAATAGGCGACACGAAGGAAGTTTAAAGCGTTTTTAATAAAGACTATATCTGATAAGATTTTACTATGTTGTAGATGACGAAAGATTACATAATCAAACACAGTTGTCGTTTTGAAAATAATCTTTTTACCATTCACGTCATTTCACGTTCCAAAAGTAAATCGTCAATAGAAAGCACGAAGAGTGCAATAATGTGACATATAATATATATATATATATATATATATCGTAAACATGACTTTTTAGCTAGTATGTTATTTTAGCTAATTTAGCTAATCTGTAATTTCGCTAATTCAAGATGTCACTTATGTAAAATATAGAATATAGTATATTCTCACAATGAGACTGTTGATACTTTAGCTAAATTGAGATTCAGTTAATTCATGCATGGAGTCAAATTCGCTAAAATAGCATGTAGCTATTTAAACATGTTTTACAGTACTTTTATTATAATTGATTTATGTATAGTAAACGTCAGCGTCTATAGAATTTCCTGAATCTTAGATAAAGTTTATTATTTAAGTATATCAAAAGGAAAACTGTTTCAAAAGTAGCATAATTTGCCTTGGCCAACACGTTACAGAATCGCAATGATACCATTCACAAACGTATGAGAACTCACTTCATATACACGTTACCGACAGGAAACGTACATTACCAATGCAAAAACAGTTGTTATTCATTCAGAACGTTCCCCGCAACATGTTTTGCCTTTTCTTTGGCTGGGTATCTTTGATTTGTTAATATCAGGTTACATGGGCAAGAACAATTTGGAGAATGCTAAAATTGATATGATTGTCGATATGATGAAAGAGTTCGCCGATGGAATCCAAGCCCTTTGGTATGAAAAGGACGAAGCTAAACAGGTATGTTTCTTCTTCAGATTACATCTAGGTAAATAATTTACGACTACATTGCAAAAAAATAACTGTATCGGTGTTATAAATATGAGTTGTCTGATGGGAAAAGATGCGGCCAACTCATCAGAGACAAATTAGATCATTGTCTATAATTTTAATTGTAGTTATCCATGTCATTATATATTTAAATATGCCGATGAAAATGAATTATATTAATACAGTGACAACAATTATATCGGGTTTATGAATCAGTGCGATTAAAATCTGATGTATATATAGGCTATATTTTATTTATACATAATTTGTTTTCAGTTCTGATATTTCATTTATTGTTTCTTTCACTTGCCGTTTTCTGTTTATATGTAGTGTATATCGATCGCCCGAACTTAGAAACTAAACAGAAATAACAATAAATAAAAATATGGGAAAAAGGAACATGTACTTGCATTGGATTGAAATATGGTTCAGAGTAATATGAAATTGAGTGTATCTTGAAATATAAATGACGTACCCATCAATCCGGTTACTCGAAACATCTTAATGTGTTTTCATGATTTTTACGTGTGTATTCTGTATGACTTTTGTTTATTAGGCTGAAATGATAGAAAAATTTAAAACCAAAACAATGATCCCAGGATATTCAGCAATGAAGAAAATTCTTGCTGCAAACGAAGGTGACGGTTTTTTTCTTGGCGATAAGGTAAGGTCACATGCAAATTTAGCTAAGTAATACAATATTAGGACGATCAAACGTGAATTTAATATCACAGCTAGAAAGTTGTGAAGTAATGGAATGCTGAGTTAGATAACGGAAAATATGGGGTCTGATCAAGAGATAATAATGTGTACGGCGACAGATTAAAAAAATGATAACAAGTCATTTGACTACTCATCACCACTTATTTGGGTGGTTATGGAAATCGCAAACTTATTAAAACAAATTTTGTAATTAAATGTGATCAAAATAATTTATATGTAATTTTGCTGTTCACAGGTAACGATGGCTGACCTCAGTTTTGTCACATACAATGAATTTATCGTGCAGAAGATTCCGGATGCATTGGACAATTATCCGATGCTTAAAGAATTAACAGACCGTGTACTCGCGTTGCCTAAAATTGCCGAATGGGTGAAAAAGCGCCCAGAAACGACATGGTAGAAGATAAAAACACAAATAATTGTAATGCACTATAGTTATCGACAAATATTTTAATTTTCACTTCTACAAAGTAATCGGCTTTTATCTCGTGGAGTTTTCATCTTGGTTTATTATTATCCTAATTGTGTAATAAAAATTACCCAGAGGAGATCAGGGACCCATAATGCACCTGTCTGTAACATTAATGACATATTGTGTTTCTTTTAGTGTTTTGTTATTTCCAACTTATTAGCTATTAAACTCATTCAAGGGATTAACAAAGAAAGAAATGGAAACATACAGAATACCTATCTTCATTTGTACTGATGTTTGCTTGAAACAACGGCTTGTGAAACTCCATCACTTTATTAGTACGGGGGAAACGTGCGTGGCTTTGCTTAGAAAACATTCGTTGTATAAACAGGTTGTTTGTTTTGTACAACATGTTTACATTACTAGTGATTACAGTTGAGGTATCCTCGTAATATTCTCATATTATCACATGCACAATCTATTCCCTCTGAAAAAACAAAAGCTCTACTCAAATAATATGCTCGTTCACCATATAAACAGTGCATAGGTATTTGATTTAAGAATAATAATCCCGACAATACAATCGATACTGTAACAGAGATATAAATATTATTAGTCATTTATTGTCACAGTGAATATGATCTCTTAAACAAAGTCCCAAAGAAAGGCATTTAAAAACAAATAAAAAATTCATATATCTTTCGGAACAAAAACAAACGCAAACATGAAAACAATGATTGTTATATTCAAAATAGTATTCTCTGATTTGTTTCTTCTTGCCTAGTTCGGAAAAATAATCGTAACGCAAAAAAGTATTGATCATTTGTAAATCACTCCTTCATTACTGTCCAGTCGAGTAATCAAATTTCCGATCAAAACTCCGATCAAAACATGCCATGCCCCTATTTCTTTAAAAAGAACATACAACAACGAAAAGTATTATTATAGTGAATATTATGCGTGAATGAAGCTTACATTGAATACTGAAATCAATTTTAAATATTTAATTTTTAAAATCGAATCTACAGGTTGAGCTGTTCAAAGCCGATCGATTAAACCTCGAGAACTTTGCATTGCAATGCACTATAAAAACAAGTATTTTAAAACTTGACACATTTTTGTTCCCACTTAAAAATCATCAAGTGTTTTATCATTTATATTTTTTGAATAATAGATTAAAAGTGTCTATAATCAGCATAATTATGAAAAAAATTATGCAATGAAAACACTTAGTCAGTGTTTTTGATTGCACCATTTCGGAAGTGTTTGTTGTCTATAGCACATTATGTAAAGTGTCCCCATCTGAAACATGTATTGAAATGTGATTATTATCACAACACTTTTAGAACTTATTCACTATACACACATTTTGGAAAATGTTTATGATCATTTGAAATAGCGTCTCAATAGAAGATATGTTTTAATGACATTATAAGGAAACTGCCTCTTGAGAAATCGGGTGGCACCGACGGGATCAGTGCCGAGCATTTAAAATACGCCAGCTCTACACTGAAGTGTACACTTATCTATGTGTATTACAGCAATCATAATTCATGGAACAATTCCTCAACGTATGACAAAGGTAATTTTAGTGCCAATAATTAAGAGTAAGAATAGTGATGTCACCAGCCTGGACAATTATCGCCCAATAGCAATAACATCAGTGTTTTCTAAAGTCTTGGAGCGAGTACTGCACGTGAGGTGTGAATCCTACATTGACACTCTAGATAACCAATAACCCTAAAGAAAAAGCTCCAGAATTGCAGGAGAATACAATTTACAGTTTTGTTGTATCACTTTTCATTCTCTAGATATTCCACTTTTCATCGTTATTATGTAGTCAGCCATCTTGATTTTCAAGCAAAGGATTATGGGTAAAGTATGACATCATAGAATCTGTTGTCAGAAATTGAGAAAATGATTTCATCTATAACTTCAAAAGTTGAACTTCAAATTGGCTGAAAGTTTAGAAATTGGTAGCATACATGTACTGGTGCCATCCATGCTTATAAAATAGTTGTCATGGAAACAGAACTGAAAATATTTATTTTTATGTTTTTCTACCAAATGCTAAAATTTCCTTATATTGTATACAATTTACCAACGTGAGTAGGTTATATAGGTGATATATCACATGTTGAGCAAAAAAGGGGACAAAAAGTGTCAT